TTGAGGGGGCGGGGGGGGGGGGGCGGTGGCTGCTCTGCCTTTGGGGGAGGGGGGGGGGGGGGAGGGGGAGCACCCGGGGGAGGGGCGCAGCCGCAGACCGACGCGGCGCCGGGTCCCGGGGAACACTTTAGACAGACCAGCTGTTGGGAAGGTCAAGTTGGGAGAGCTTCTAGGGGCAGCTGCAGGTCACACAAATCCAAAGCCCCATTCTTACAGTGGAAGAAAACGAACTCCGGAGAAGAAAACCGTATATTCAACCACTCATCCCACATGGGGTCCGACTCCAAAGCCTACCAAATGTCCTGACTGCCAGGGGCAGTCCTTACATGGGAGTATCAGACTGGAAATTCCCGGTAACTTTTATCCAGGCCTGAACAAAAGACCGACTTCAAGGGGCACCCTACGGGGACACTTCCTTAGTGCGTCTTCCCTGACTCGGGTCAACCACCACGCCGCTCACCTCGGGCCCGGTGCAGGGGCAGGGGACTGGGCGCTGCACTGGGAGAGGGCGGAGGTTCACGTGCAGGCGGAGGGTCGCAGGACGAGGCGTCGGACTCGGCGCCGTCACGCTCCGGTTTGCAGTGTTCCTCATACAAACGGAGAGTCGGCAGCGTTAGCTGCTTCCTGAGGGAGAGAAAAAGGGGCGGTTAGCAGTCATCGCACCCCTCCTGTGACCGGGGTACGTGCCACCGGCCACCCGCTGACGTCTCACCTTTTCTCCCGACGGCCATTCCCGGTGTCCCGGAAGCCCTTGGCAAACGGGTTGTTGTCGATCTTCAACTGTGTAATCTGTGGGACCGAGGAAGCGGCACTAAGTCAAGACCTGGCTCGGGGCACCCCGAGGTCAGCGCTACCGGCCGCAGAGTAGAGAGCCGGAGTAGGGGTTGGGGTGGTGCCACCCGCCCGGGATAGGAAGCTGGGAGGTGAAGCCGGCAGGCAAGCATCTAGGAAAGTGACAGGGTCTCTTTCTTATTCAAGAAAAAATAATCCCTCAACACGCACACACAGGCCCAAGCAAACAAATAGGCTCATGTAGTCACTTGGGTTAAAACTATTACGAACCTGAGCACTGACAAACAGTACCCCGACAAAAAGTCCCCGTACACCCAAGCCCGCAGGTCTAGGCAAGGGCAAATCATTGCACTCACAGGCCCAGATAGGCAAGTTTACAAAAAAATAAAAATAAATAAACAAGTGGCAATAGAATCCAACGAATTCACTAGCTTCCACATGTAGCTAACACACTACATATAGTGTATGTGGCCAGGCAGACCCATGGTTTACAAAGATACAACCAAAGACACTAGGGCCCTCTCAGTTAATCCATTATGATCTATGAGGGCTCAGACAAGTAGAAAAAGCCCTTTCACCTGAAGGAGAATTCTCTTAGTTTTTCCCAAAGGGCCTGGGGCTTGTATGGACCCAGACAAGTGGCTTAGAGGAGCTCACCAGCGTTGTGCCACCTGTCCCACTCTCTGGCTCCTGTGGAGAGTAAAACTTGGAGCCTGCGTTCTTAGCATCTGTAGAGCTTGGGCAGATTGCCCCAGGCGCCCTCTTTTCATTTAGATTCCCAGTCATGAGCCAAGAAATGAACGAATAAAATGTAAAAATGTCAGCGGGAGCCTGAGTCTCTACTAATTGCTAAGTAAACATCTCCACTCCAACTATGGCCCAGCTGTTTGAGTGCCTCAGGGGAGTGTGTGTGTCTGTGTGGGTATGAGAGGGAGCCCAGGGGATTTATGTGGGTGCTGCTCTTGCAAGTCTGAGTGGGTGGTGAGTTCTTCAAGCTCTCTGCCATGCCCCTGCTATTGGGTGGGTTTGAATGGAGGTGTAGAGCCTGTACATGTTACAGGAAGTCGATGGTTGTAGGGACCGACCCCACTTCCCGCCCAGCACACCTTGTCATTCTGGTAGGCAGTAACAGCGATGAAGTCCGTCTCTGGGAAGACATAGGTGCGGAAGGTGCTGTATGGGAGCTTCAGGATGTCATTGGCTCGGACGATGTGGAAGCGTGGCTGGTACTTATGCATGGAGTTCAGGATGGTCTGTGAAGAGCATGAGGTTCAGCCAGCCAGCAGTTCCCTGCCCTGTCCTAAACCTTCCTACTACTGGGGACTGACAGCTTTTATTCTCTCTCTCTCTCTCTCTCTCTCTCTCTCTCTCTCTCTCTCTCTCCTGCACTTCTTTTTCTACTTTTCTCATGTTTTTCTTCTCACAAGTATTTTTTTTCTATTACACTTTCCAGTTGGAGACAGAAATGAAACAAAACAGAAACAAACAAAACCCAACTCCATGCTTTGGCTTCCCCTTCCCCTGGCATTGGTAAACTCCTGGAATACTAAGGAAAGAGAAGTGTGTATAGAGGAAGGTCCCCCGGACTGCCCATAGTGCAATAGGAGCCCCCACCCTTGCCCAATGAACCCCCACCATTGGCTGAGATTTTGGCTCAAGCAGAAATGGAGAGTTCTTCATACTGTCCCTTGACTAGACATCTGCCTGGCTGGAGGGAAAGGTCTCCAAAGAGCTCGTGTTTAGTTTCTGGATCCTCTAGCCTTAGGTGATGGTTAGCTACAGGAGTAAGTCTTGGCAGCTTCTCCAAGTTCAGCATCTATAACCCCATATCAGTGTGGCCTCCACAGGATCTGAGCTGCTTGACCCGTTCCCTGTAGCACCTGCCTCAGTCTGGATTGTAGGAGGGACTCTCAAGACCCTCACAGGAAGGAACTGACAATTCAAACAGCCTGGAAATTCCCACCAACTGTCCACATGCTCTTTCCCAGGCTTGCAGAACAGGGGCTGTGGAAGCCCAGGCCCAGCTTACCTGGGCCACAAGGCAGTGACCCAGACAGGGCCATTCTAGGGGGTTCAACTGATGCACCCCTCTAGAAAGCCTGTAGCTTCCCTCTATCCACTCAACTGCAGCAGAACAGCACCCAGGTTCTCAACAGCTTCCCACTCTGCCCACACTCACAAAGCCATGCTTGTCAGAAATGTTGTTGGTCAGCTTCAGCTTGTGAAAAGCTACAGGTTTGGCCATCCACTGCTCCCCCGTGGCCGGACTGTCCGGATGAATGTACATGCGTTTGGGCATCTCCGGGTCGGCCTTGCCTGCCACCATCCATCGTGAGTTGTGAAACTTATAGCGGCAGTCATCAGCAGCCACAATGTCCATCAGCAGGATGTACTTGGCCTTCTTGTCCAGGCCGCTGACTCGCACCTTGAAGGGGGGGAACATCCGCCTCGGAGGGAGGGAAGGGGGACACGCCATTGGGACCCGGCTCTTCTTTGTCCCTTTCTTTACATTCCTGATGACAGGACACCCCTGCCTGAAGTTACCCCATCTATGTTTGCTATAAACTCCTCTACATATGCTGTGCTCTTATTGCTACTGGGAAGACCCAGCCTGCGGCTGTAACTCCCGAGGCATCTCTTTTTCTGCTGGCCAGAACTTGTTTTCTAAAGCCTTGAATGAGCTTGCACTCGGGTCTGTGGACTTTTCCTCCACTGTGATCTGAGATGAAGGATGGTGCCCAGGAAAGGAAAATAGGCCCTTTAGAAAAACGCTGGGTTTTCCTAAATTGCCCTGAAATTCGTTCAGAGGAAATACACTCTTTGGGCAGGGTTCACAGAAATAAATTAGTAAGGTCTTTGTCTGGGGAAACGATATATATAAAATCTTGATCTGGGATCCTGAGCCTGGAGTTCGGGGGAACAGGGTGAACCTGAGGCCTGTACTCTCAGAGCCTGAAGTGTTGGGAGGATTGGGGCTTGGGTTTTTCTTCTGGCTTTAAGGCCTCAGGAGGTGGCTGGTCTTGAGCTCCAGGCTCCAAGGACAAGCAAGACTCTCTCCAAGGCCTAGTTGTGGGCTCAACAACTCAAGACCCGCTGCGGGAACCGAACGGTCGGTCTGGAGCTAGCAGGCGGCGGAATGCTAGTCCCACTATGGACTCCGGGGAACGGAGCGGAGAATCCAGGACAGGCTCATTCTCCTAGGAGCTCCGAGACCGACCCTGAGGCAGAAAAGCGAGACCTCAAGGGGTAGAGGAGACCCGCTAGGGCCGAGCTACCAGGGCTTTGAGCTCAGAGCGATTGGGACTATTCTTTAGGAGCGTGTTTTCGTTTTATTTCAAGCGAGGGATGTTCGCTTTTCTTTTTCTTTTTAATTCGCTCCGGTGCCAAACGAAAAAAAGTCGGCTTGCTTGTCTGTGGAGAGGAGCGTGGCGCCAGGGCCGGAGCGAAGTTGCCGAGA